ACGACAACAGCAGCAACCGAGGAAGCTGCAGCAGCTGCAGCAACGGGGATATGCCCAAACACCAACACCACGAAATACAGCAACTCTAAGGTGCAGCAGCAGCAGCAGCAGCAGCAGCACTCGCGGCAGTAGCAACCGCAACAGTAGCAGTAACACCGAGGCAGCAGCAGCAGTAGCAGCAGGGACAGCAGCATTCTCAGCAGCAGCAGCATTAGCAGCAGCAACAACAGCAGGAGCAGCAGCAGCAGCAGCAGCAGCAGCAGAAGGGCATACAGTGCAGCAAACCCCCTAGCTATGCGGGTGAGCAGTCGGCCTTCTCTGTGGCTGTCGAGGCGCAGCAGATACACCCCACCACCGTCGTCTGCTGCAGCAAGCAGCCTCTCCCCAGCCTCCTCAACGAACGCAAGACCTCGGGGCTCTCCTGCTGCTGCTGCTGCTGCTGCTGTTGAGCCGTGCCGCTGCAGCCGCTGCACTGCTGCTGCTGCAGCCGTCGCGCACTGCCTGCAGGACCCGCTGGGGTCTCCGGTTCCAGCGCTGCTGCTGCTGTTGTTGCTGCTGTTGCTGTTGCTGTTGCTGTTGCTGCTGCTGGTGGTTGTGGGGCGGCAGCAGCAGGTGCTGCTGCAGCTGCTGCTGAGGCGTAGAGGCAGGCGGCTCAGGGAGGTGCTGGTAGCCGCTGCGTTTATAGATATCTGCAGCAGCTGCCCCCCTATGCATGCGTACACTGTGGTGCTGCCGTCTTGCTGATGCTGCTGCTGCTGCTTTGCGAAGAGACGCGGCAGCGGGTGCCAGGGGCNGTGGTGCTGCCGTCTTGCTGATGCTGCTGCTGCTGCTTTGCGAAGAGACGCGGCAGCGGGTGCCAGGGGCTGCGGTAGAGTTGCTGCTGCTGCTCTTCTCGTCGTTGCTGCTGCTGCTGCAGCAGCTGACGAATGTCTGCAGGCAAATCAACCGAAAGATCCTCCAAAGCAACCAACTGTGCCATCCACAGCTGCTGCTGCACCCCACTATAGCTGCTGCTGCTGCTGCTGCTGCTGCTGGTTGGTGGCTGCTGAGCTGCAGCAGCAGGCAGCAGCAAAGGGCAGCAGCCGCCCGCCCTGTAGTCTACTATGCTGCAGTATCGTCGTTGTTGCTGCTGCTGCTGCTGTAGCAACACAACGGCGAAGAAAACAACCGACTGCGTGGTCAGCAGGAGCAGCAGCAACTGCTGCTGCTGCTGCTGCCCTGCCTCTAAGGGTTCTTGCTGCTGCTGCGCCCTACGCAAGCAGCAGCAAGCAGCAACAATAGGAGCATCTGCTGTTAGCCTCAGCACAGAGGGTTCTGCTGCATCTCCTGCTGCTGCTGCCGCTGCTGCTAGAGGCAGCAGATAGGCGGTATTGCCCTGGAAGAGACACACTTGTTGCAGCTCC